CTTGCCTAGCACATGGGAGGCACTGGGTTTGATCCTCAGCACCACATAAAATAAATATATGTGTATGTATGTGTGTGTGTGAATATATATATATATATATTTAAGATGCCTAGATTGGCTCCCTGCTTAAAAAAAAAAAAAAAAAAAGTAAGAGTCAGGGAAAAATGGAGGTGCTGGGCTGGGGTTGGTTGTGGCTCAGTGGCAGAGCACTTGCCTAGCATGTGTGGGTTCAATTCTAAGTATCACATATAAATAAAGAAAAAAAGGTCCATCAACAAATAAAAATATTTTTTTAAAAAAAAGAAGAAAAAGAAAAATTGAAGCCCTAGTAAAATTCAAACACTCTTCACTTTTTAAATTTTATTCTATTAATTTTAAATTAATAGGTGTTGTATGATTACATTCTTTTTTCCAAAGACTAGCTTTATATTACAGATAAAGCTAAAGTATTTGTGTGTGTGTGTGTGTGTGTGTGTGTGTGTGTTGCAGAGGATCAAACCCAGGGCCTTGAACATGCTAAGCAAATGCTACAAAACTGAGCCCTATCTCCAACCCAAGGCTAAAGTACTTTTTACCCACCACTTTGAATCCCAGCTCTTTCTACCCTCTCTAAAGTCAAAATTTTCTTCTAGATATATTTTTTTAAATATTTATTTTTTGGTTGTAGTTGGACACAGTACCTTTATTTTACTTATTTATTTTTATGTGGTGCTGAGGATTGAACTCAGGGCCTCACGTGTGTTAGGCAAGTGCTCTACCACTGAGCCACAACCCCAGCCCTTCTAAATATTTTTTTTTTAATTTTTCCTTTTTTAAAATATATTTTTAGTTGTTGATAGATCTTTTATTTGTTTGTTTGTTTGTTTATTTATATGTGGTTCTGAGAATCGAACCCAGTGCCTCACTCATGCCAGGCAAGTGCCCTACTGGTGAGCCCCAGTCCCAGCCTTAACATTTTCATATATGTGTATATATATTTGTAGGAGTGGTGGGTTTTTTTTTGTTGTTGTTGTTGTTTTGTTTTATTTTGCTGTGCTTGGAAGTGAACTCAAGGTCTTGTGCATATACCTTTGAGCTACCCCTACAACCTCCTCATTGCACTTTTTTTGTTATTTGCATGTCCATTTGTACAACTAGACTGCAGGTTTCTTTTGAAGACTGTTTTTATTCAGTCTACAAAAACAATAAAGTCATATTAATACCCATTTAATTTACTTTATTTCTTAGGGGAAACATTTTTTAAAAAAGAAATACCTTATGATTCACTTATATGTAAAATAGAACAGTAGTTGCCAGGGACTAGGCGGTGAGAGAAGTGGGGAGTTATTGTTCAGTTTTACAAGATGAAAAAACTTTAGAAATCTATTGCACAACAAACATGAATATAGTTAACAGTACTGACTGTACACTTACAAATTATTAAGATAGTAAATTTTATTATGTGTTTTTGAAATGGGAGCATGAATCTACTATTCCTACAGCTGGTCTTTATTCCTTCCTCTTTCACATCTCCAAAGCTGATTATGATTCTGTTGTTTAAATACAAATGTTTTCCTTGCAACATGGCCCTTACATGCAAGCCAATTATTTGTATGGACCTCAATCAAAGATACCATTTTGATACTGGAGGGGGGAAAATGGCCATGTTAAGCTTGCTAAGAGAAGAGAGAATACGATGTTTAAAGATTTTTCAACAATCATTTTTCCCATATGAACATAATCTGAGTGTCCAAAATTTATTCTGTGTATCCTGAAGTCTTGGTACCAATTTTTACTATTCTCCTTCCTCACCATCTGTGATTGATATTTGAGGCCCTGGCTACTTGGTTTTCTCTGTTCTCCAAGTGAGAACCTCTCAGAAGTCAAGTGGATGGCCTCAAGTGCTCATACCTGGGGGACTTGGAAATCCCTTGCTGAGTCCATCCCTCAGAGTCAGTGGAACCACTCACCAACATGGTGTGATTTTAGAGAGGATATGCCTGCCCCACTTTGGAGACTCACTGTTATTCATTTGCTCACATAGTCTGTATGCTGCAAATGTCTTCCTTTAACCCCCATCCAAATTTAATTCAGTCTTCAGGACCCTCTCTTATTTACCTGAATTAAATTATTATATATATTTTTTTCATTGTTCTTTACTTCTTATTTTATTATTTAACATTTCAAGTTTGAAAATCTTGATTCTCCCATTATCAAACAATTGTAGATGGGGTGGAAGCATAGTTTCATGGTACAGTGCTTGCCTAGGCTGTGTTGAGGCCCTTTTAAAATCCCCAGCGTCACAGAAAAATAATGATTAATCATAATAATTGTGACTAAGTTTTATTCATGTTTACTATAGGCCAGACATCATTAAAAAGGATTGTATACATATGTTAGATATATATTTACAACATTGAGAGTATTTTTGTCCACATTTTATATTTAAGGAAAGAAATGTGTGACCTTGCCCAAGGTCATGCAGATAGTAAGGAGCAAGGCTGGAATTTTATTTCATACACTATGACCCCAGAGTTCTGACTTATGTTCAATATGCTGGATTGAGAGAACCCTTAGTGTTTATCTAATCAACTTTCTCTCCTGTACTGCCACTTTCTCTTCCCCTAAACTATGATCTAATCCCTTCTCCAATTTCCTAAGTAATTATTCTAAGCTCATTTTGACCATAGAAAACTTGATATTTTGCCTATTTCATCTTTAGACTTAAAAATCTTTAAATTCATCTGAAATCTGTTCAGGGAGCAGTATAGTATAGTAACTCATGTGTAAAATGGAGAGTATAGCAGCTATCTCATGGGGTGGTTGCAGGAATTAATGATTAAAAGCATGTAACATAGTGCCTGGTGCCAGGAACTGCACAACACATGACAATAATTGGCTCTAAGCCTTCTTGTGCATAGATTTGTTCTCTGGATGCACAAAAACTGATCATGTCTATTATCTACAGTAGTCCTTCAATTTCTGAAGGTTGTGATTATGTTTCCTCTAAGCTGCTGCTACCTTCCCTTTCCTCCTCTTCTTCCTCCTCCTCCTCCTCCTCTTCCTCCTCCTCCTCCTCCTCCTCCTCCATCCCTATATCTCTATCTATGGTTTCTGCAGCTAAAGAAATAATATCTCATAGATAATATCAGATATTATTTCTAGACCTCTTGCTATCATATCCTCTCTCCCTTCTGCTAAGGCTTAGGTGAAGAAGTCAGAAAATCAATGAACAGTTACATTGGGTTTGTACTCTACATGTCTTTTTATTATTATCATTGTTCTTTTTGTGTAGTGCTGGAAATCAAACTCAGGGCTTCATGCATGCCAGGCAAGCATACTACAGCTAAGCTGCACTCCCAGCCCTGAAACTCACATCTGTGGCATTTAGGCAACCATATTTTATTTAGTTAACTCCACTGAGTTCACATCTACCTATAACACCATTTCTTTGCCATCTGAAGTTGTAAAAGCACATTTTTTTCACATCCTGTGTTTGTGCAGTTAGGTTCATGAATTAAGATGGATAATTTGACATTTTTCCTGTTTTATTTCATTTCATAGGATTCAGCCTATTCTGTTCTAACATCCTTTGGAATTTATATTTTCCTTTCCATTTATGCTTGGACTCTGAGGACAAGATCATTGCAAAGTAAGAAAATTCCTGTAAGGTGCTAAGCACAAATACCTGGCATACAGCAAGCCCTTGATAAACACAAACAATTGTGGTGGTGATTGTTATCCCAATACTCAACACAGTGTCTGGCTCACAGTAGAACCCTAATAATATTCATTGATTAATGAATAAATGATTGGCTCAAAGATTGATGGAACTAATAAATATTCCCTGTCTTGACTCTCAGGCCAAGTAAATTTGATATTATCTTTCTTTTACAAATAGGGAAACTGAGGCTCATAGATGTTAAATAACTTGCCCATGGTCACTCAACTGGAAAGTGGAACCAGAACTAGATCTCAAATCTGCTTGATTCCCAAGCATGTATGGCGGACCCTTCCCTATGATGCATCCTCACATCTATATTCAGACTGAAAGAACGTTCTAGGAAGCCAGAATGAAGTCCGAGAGACTTTCCAAGGTTGTGTGTCCCAAGCCCTAGAGAAGTTGATTCTCTTGTAACCCTGGGACCCAGGGATGTGGAAGGGCCCAAGAGATGGGGAACAGAGCACTGGAACCTCCCTCCTCCCTCCCCTCTGGGCCTCTCGTATTCCCTGCCTAAACTCTGCTTTGCTATTTCTCCTAAGCAACTAACAGCATTGTGTGTCCCCAAGGAGACACTTTTAAGGCCAGGGAACCAAGACCCAGGGAAATGATTCAACTGCTTGCCAGAACCAGGGTCAGCGGAGTCAGGGGCCCAGAAGAGTAGGTACAAAGAATTAGAAGACCCATGGGAAATCTGTGGTTGCCTCTCTGCCACCCCCTATCTGGGTATCAGCTTCCTCTTTGTAAGAATGGTGGGAAGTAATAGTCGTCATTTTACCTTATAATGGTTTGTGTTATAATGATGACAACAGCTAGGGTTTACTGAGTACCATCTCTGCCAGTTACCATGCTGAGTACCTTTCATAGTCTTAGCACTATGAAATAGGTATATTATTTACTCCCGTTTTAATTTTTCATTCTTCCTTCATCTTTGTCCTTTTTTTTGGAGGGGGGGTACCAGAGATTGAACTCAGGGGCACTCAACCATTGAGCCACATCATCAGCCCTATTCATCAGCCCTATTTTGTATTTTATTTAGAGAAAGGGTCTCACTGAGCTACTTAGCACCTCGCTTTTGTTGAGGCTGGCTTTGAACTCTCTATATTCCTGCCTCAGCCTCCCAAGCAGCTGGGATTATAGGCATGGGCCACAGCGCCAGGCTCCTTTTTAATAAATGTGGAAGCCAAAGTTCATAGAATTGTTACTTGCCCAAGATCTCTAACCCTAAGTGTCAGAACTGAGGTTTGAAACTGTGTAGCCTTTTGAGCCCTTCAGAACTGAGAAATGGAGGACGGGAGAGTATGATAGAAGTCCTGTACTCTCTGGGCAAAAATATATTGCACAGTCTATGGCTTCTTATGATTGGGGCTGAAAGTGGGAACCTACGGAGAGCATTTCTAATGAGGCAGTTGTGCAAATCCAAAGGTGGGAAGGGCTCTTCTCACACACATGATCAGATTGAAACCCTAGGTCTAGATGAGAGGAGGGAGGGTACACAGTCTGACTAGCTCCTTTGTAAGAGACAGTTCCAGAGCAGATTGTGGTGGGAGAGGAAGATCCTAGGTTGTCCAGCCAGAGCCACTATAGCCCATTCAAAGCCAAGGCCTTCTGCAAGAAGAGTACTGTAACTCATGATGTTCTGCTGGGGTTAAGGCAGGAAGAAGCTCCAGTTTTCTCAGAACTTTCCAAGAAACCAAGGACGCACAGCCCAGGAAATAAGTACTTATGGCCTCCAATGGCACCTGTGACCCCTTAATTCCCTGTATCTCTGTCCTTGGGTTTCCAGTCACCCAGCTTCTACACTGTTCTCCTTATATCCACAGCTGTCTGCTTGGCATCCCCAGCACCTCCCTTCCAGGCTCGTTCTCCTCTCACACACACCAGGACTGTCTGCCATGGCAGCTCCTTTGTTTACTTCCAGAGCTCACAGGCTCACCACTAGCCAAACACAAGGAGGCCTGGCCAGGGAGATCTTGGCTCTAGGATCAATCTGGCCCCTCTGGGACAGGTAATGGCCTCCAAACCAAGAAGGCAGCTCAAAGGTAGGTTGCTCCCTGTGCTGGGTTCTTGCTTCAGAGTCTGGCAACCCAAATTTCAGGCCTAGAGGGAAAAGGTACAAGTTCTGCCCATAGCTGGGCAGGAATCCCTACGGTTGAGACAGCTTTGGCTAAGGGCTCCCAGAATTAAAGACCTAGCTAGAGAGAGATGGGGAAAATTTTGAGGCCTCCTGGGTGGGAACCAGAGGCTTGGATTTTTGCTCCTCTTTGAGTCTCTCATCAGCCTGGTAAAACCTGGCTCTGAACCCTCAGTTGGAGGATCCAGGTGCCTAAATTTCCTCACCAGGAGGTTGTGTTCCTCTTCCAAAAGCTCAGGTTTCATACACCCCAAAGATTCATATTCTTTCTTTCTCTCTTTCTCTCTCTCTCTCTCTCTCTCTCTCTCTCTTTCTCTCTCTCTCTCTCTCTCTTTTGCACCAGGATTGAATTCAGGGTGTTTAACCACTGAGCCACATTTCCCAGCCCCTTTTTAAATCTTTTATTCTGAGACAAGTTCTCATCAAGTTACTGAGAGCCTCATCAAGTTGCTGAGGCTGGCCTTGAACTTATAATCCTTTTGCCTCATCCTCCTGAGTCACTGGGATTACAAGTGTGTGCTATATAGTGCTCTCTCCTCCCTGAAGATTCTAACTGAAAAGGGAAAGTGAGTATTTACTATAGACTAAGCCCTAAGTAGAAACATAGCCTGGCATTTGTCTGTCTGAGATCAGTGGGAAGATGATTTACCTAATGTATATTTGTGTATTTATATATATATAATGTATAATGTAAAGTGAGGGGCTCTAATTCTGACTCTGGAGCTGTGGTAGGTGATGGGTAAGCAATAAGGAATACTGCGGGTGCTAAGCTGGAGGGCAGCAGGGTCACAGACAAGGTCATATGAAGAACAATGGTCATGGCAAAATAAAAGGCTCCCATTGGGAAGGGGAGACTCCTGGCAGTCCAGACTCCCCAATGCAGAAGTAGAGGGCCCTTTAAATGTTGCCCATTTAATTCTGTGAGGATGGGAGAAAATGGGGGCAGGGCAGATGCTGGTGAATGATCAGAGATGATTTTAAGGCCTCCTGGATGAGAACCAGAGACTTAGACTGCTCTTGGTCTCCATTTCATTTAAAGGAAATGAAATCCCCAGTATCATTCTCATTTAAGGATCCCTTTTAACACACACACACAAAAAAAACTTGACTAAGGAATGTAAAAATCTAACTTTGTTGCCAGGCCCCAATGGAGCAGATGGACCCAAGGGCCAATGGGCCTTTGGAAAGAACAGGAATGAGGTTAGAGGTGAACACTGGTCCTGCCCAGTTCTTACTCTCTGCCCCATTCTGCTTCAGTTTCCAAGGGTTGGGGGTGGGGCCTGGGAAACAGAGTTCATGCATGAAGCAACCCACCCTCCTTCTCTGAGAGGAATTCCTTGAGGGGTTATGGGTCCCCTGGAGTAAACAAGAAATTTGCTACAGTTTTAGGCACAGTTTGGCTTTTTTTTCTCATCAATGTATATTTTAATCTAACAGTCTAACAGCCTCATACTCCTTACCCTTGCCCAAGTTCTCTCCCCGTTCTCCCACACCAGCCCAATCAGCATCTCATCTGCCCTAAAAATTGAAAGTCACCAGGCACAAAGGTGATTCAAAGAGGAGGTGACACCTGTGTCTCTCCCACCAGATGCTCAGGATAGCATCAGACCCCCTTGGAGAGTTCAGAGGCCAAGGAGGCCTAAGTTAGGAGAGAGTACAGGTTGAGTCTCATTGGAAAACACTGTCTCCTGGGTCTCAGTCCCATGCAGAGTCTGTCCCCTTGGACTGTCCTTGTCAGTCAGAGTAACAGAAGAGCAGAAATCCTCAGATGGGGGACTTGTGAATAGAAGGAAAGCCCAAGTCACACTCAGAGTGAACAAGGCTGCTGGAATGCCCTTTGGTGCGGTTGTGTAGATGCTCTGACTGCAGCTTCCTGACCCCTCTGTGATTCCAGGAGTAAGGGGAGGGGCTCTCAGGATATGCCAACCTGGAAGACAGAGGGCCAGTGCTGCTACCTGCAGCCACAAGACTCCACAACCATGTCCTCATACTGCTTATACACCACGTTGTTGGCAGAGTCAATGAAGAGGATGCTAATGGGACTCAGCCGCGTGGGCACACAGCAGGTGGGTGGTGTGGACTCGGGGTCCATGGAGTTCATCAGGGTCTGGATGACTGCGTGGTTCGTGGGCTCCAGGTGGGAGCGCAAGGGGAATTCGCATAGCCCCTCACAGTGGAAGGCCTCGTACTCAAGAGGCGCAATGATCCAGTCATCCCAGCCCATGTCCTTGAAGTTGACATGCAGGGCCTTCCGACTGCAGCGGGCCTTGAGGTTCTTGCTGGGTCGCTTGCCCTGGCGAGTGGCCAGCGGAGCCCGCCGTTTCCGCCGCTGGCTGAACAGGTACTCATACACGGTCTTATCATCCTGGCCCGAGCGGGCCTTAATCTCATTAAAGAACAGGTCCCGTTTCTTGGTTCGGCCAAACACCAGGAACAGAGCCTTCTCGTGGACCTGCCGGGCAGCCCGGTCAAAGCCCAGACCGCGGAGGTCCACAGCCCGGCCCCGTTCCCAGGCCTCCAGCTCCAGGCACAGCTGGGCCGAGTTCTTAAAGTTTCGGAAGAGCTTCCAGATGTCGAACACCTCCCAGCCAGATCCATCCAGGCCTGGCACCGAGCGCACATCCAGCAAGGCTGCCGGCTGCCGGCCGCTGGGGCAGCTGGACAGCTTCAGCTGGGCAGCCCGCCCGGCACCAGGGGCCACTGGCTTGGCCGTGTCCGAGGGCTTCTTCCGCAAGATCCGCAGCTCGGCCCCCAGCAGCCCATCCTTCTCCAGGGCACTAATGTCGAACATGTACCTCTGCTTCCTGACCACAGGACCTCGGTCATCTAGAGAGAATAGCCAGAAGTCAAGTCCTGCAACCTCACCGAGGGAGCCAGTCACCTCTAGGCCCCAAGGGAGGCCCAAGCTCTTCCCCCTCAGGAGAATTTTCTTTAACCTCTTCCCCACTGTGTCAGAGGCCGACATCAAAACACTGAGAGCCTTTTTAAAATGAGGGAGCTTCCTGCACAGTGGACCAAATCAGGGTGTTTATCTGTGAATGTGGAAATGGATGATTTGGGTAACTGTTTGTGTCAATGATTTATGTATAATAGTCATAAGCCTTACAACTTCCTTCTACTTATCTCTCCTGCCTCGTGATCTAACATGATATCCTATGTCCGAGATAGTGGGATATACATTAAAATTACCCATTTTTTGAAAAACCTGAAGTTCAGGGAAGTTATGTGGCTTGCTCAAGGTCCCTTGCTAGGAAAAAACAGAATTAGAACTCTAGAATTTTTATATCTCATACTGAGATGCTCCCACTATACCTTAAAGATCTTTGTGTTCTCATTTTTACAGATGAGGCACAGAGGTGAGGAGTGACTTGACGTAGGTCACAGCAAGTTAATGAAAAAGCTGATCTACAACCCAAATTCCTGGCTCCCCAGTCTAATAATTTTGTTGTGTATTTGTCTTCCCCTGCTGGGTGGATGAGGGTGTAACAGTGTGTGTGTGTGTGTGTGTGTGTGTGTGTGTGTGAGAGAGAGAGAGAGAGAGAGAGAGAGAGAGAGAGAGAGATTATTAACATTTATTTATTTTTTCTTAGTTCTTGGCGGACACAACATCTTCGTTTGGATGTGGTGCTGAGGATTGAACCCGGGCCGCATGCATGCCAGGCGAGCGCGCTACCGCTTGAGCCACATCCCCAGCCCTACATCTCAGCCCTTTTTACTTTTTATTTTGAGGCAAGGTCTCGATAAGTTGCCCAGGCTGGCCTTGAACTTGCAATCCTCCTGCCTTGGGGCCTGCTGGAATTACAGGCATGTGCCACCATGCCCACTTGGCCTCATGTGTATTTGAAGGGCTTGTATGTGAATGTAAGTGTATGATTCCACATATGTACATAAAGTGTGTATACATGTGCACATGTGTGATTCAATGTGTGTAAAATATAAGGCTGTGTGTGTGAGAAGCTCAGCAGTGTCTCTGTATCAGCATGGCCTCCTTCCTAAATACCAATTTGCCATTGGGGAACATTCATATATTACTCTAGAAGGTAACTAATTAGGCCTTTAAACTCCCCATCTCCCCCTCCCCAAGCTCCCTTAGTGCTGGGGGGGGCACAAGGACTTATTTTATGAGCCCCCAAGGGGTCACAGCTTTCCCTGGCTGGGCAGGCAGCCAGGCCACTTCCCCCACCTCGGCCAGACCTGCTGCCTCTGTGCCTCCCCCCTCCTGCCCCCTGTCATTCCCCTACAGGCCAGCTCTAATGAGGAGTCTCTCCTACTCTCTGACCCCTCCCCCACCCTGCCAGCCAAAGTCCTAAGACTCAGAACCCGAGCATAGGAGCTATAAGCAACCTTAGCAACAGGCAGTCCACCTCCCTCTTCAGACTATGGAGAAACTGAGGCCCTGAAAAGGGAAGAGTCTTGTTGAGTTCACACAGCAAGTTGAGAGAAAAAGCTGAGATGGTAATACTAGATTGGCAGAGGGAAACACAGAGAGCAAATATTCTCCTGCGTTAATACTAAAAATATGTTTACAGGACACAAAATTTTCACATTTGAAGGACTTTCATAAATCACCCAGTCAGACTCCCATCCAGATGGACAGATGGGGAAACTGAGGCCCCAAGGGGTGAAGCGGCTGTCCCAGGGTCACATTATGAGTTAAACCCTAGGTCTGATGCCTCCTTCCATGATTCCAAGATGCCCCCTTTCCTTTCTTCACCTGTCTGCCTCCCCTGCCCCCTGTCCTGATGTCAAAGTTGCAGAACTATGGGGACCTTTCTAAAGTTTCATCCCTCTGTCTGCTGAGAAAACCCTGGAGCTTGGAAAGTTTGGCCAACCTATAAAGTTACGGAGTATGGCTTGATAATCAAGTCTCCAACTCTGCCACCAAATGGCAGGTCTTGTCTCCTCTCCAGGATTTAGTGTCCCCTCCCCCCTGCACCTTGCAGGAACTGGACTTGGTGATCCCTGGGTACCCTATACTGCTGACATGCCAGCAGCCTGGATCTGGTATATGTAAGGTAATTCCCTGACACCCACCCACGCAGGACCAGATGCACACACATTCCCCCACCTGTTAAGCATCAGGGCTCAGGGAGTCCCTCTGTGCATGCAGATGCTCCTCCCGCCACCCCGCCCCCTCACCTTGCCCTTTGTCAATAAAGCTGGTGATGGTGTTGGCCAGGCCAGCCTCCAACTTCACGCTGCTGTTGCCTCCCTTTCTGTCAGCATCGGACAGCGTCCTGTACAGCGAGAGCATGTACTCGTGGGGTGTGATGGGGGGCGGGCGGAACGGCTCCTTGGGCTCTCGAGGGGGCCCAGACTCCCTGGCCTTCTTCAGCAGAAAGGAGCTGGGGACAGATCCTGCTTTGGGGGGTACCTTGCCCCCGGGAAGCTGTCCTTTTGGGGTTACAGTCCGGGCTGCAGGCTGCCTGGTCTGGGGAGGGGGTCCTGGCTTGGGTTCAGAGCCACCAGATCTGGGGGGCAGCTTTTTGGGCTCATCCTTCTTGGCCTGTGTCTGCCCGGGGTCTGCCTTTGCCCTGGTGTTGGTGGCCCCCCCACCATAGCTGTGACCCCCTGGCCTAAAGATGTTCCGGGCCAGGGGGGGCCTCTCCTTGGCCTCTGCTTTGGCCAATCCTGGCCTGGCCCCCGTGGGTCTCTGGCCCAAGTCAGGGGCACCCAACACAGTGCAGATGAATTCCAGGTCCAGCCAAGCCAGGTGCCAAAGCAAGAAAGTGAGGAGTTTGGGGAGTCTCATCCTCTGGCCAGCCGCTGGATGACACCAAAGAGAACAGCGGCAGCAGCGAAGGTGCCTCTGGCTTGGCAAGAAAAACCATGAAAGGAGTGGATCTTCAGGAGCAGCGGCGGCAGCAGTAGCAGCAGCAGGAAGGGCTTTCTCCTCAGTCTGAGACTCTTGAAGTCCGCCGGGCGTGTGTCTGTATCCAGTCCCATAGTGGAAATGCTCCCGTATCCAGACGTGCACCGTCTCCAGTCAGCAGCTGAAAATAACTCGTTCTTGAAAGGAGAAAGCCGACCGCCCCCTTTCTCCTGCACAACTGACTGAGGGCTTGAAGGAGGCTTGTATAAGGCTGAGGGATTTTTCCAAGAAGGAAGAATGGCGTAATGCTGCCTGTGTGCTCCAGTTTTTTTTTTTTTCCTCCTAGTTTTGAATCCTTTCCAGTGAAAATACTTACACACACACACACACACACACACACACACACGGGCCTGCAGGTGCTCAGAAAAATCTTTTACAAACCTGAACTCAGGAATTGGAAACGGAATTCCAACCCAAACCAATTTAATTACTCTCTGATGTCATGCTGTCTAAATTCATTTAAGTGCGATATATTTATGTGAAAAAAATCACCGCTGCCCTTTTGAGGCCATGGCTCACGGGGGCTCTTGGCACAGAGCCCCGTAGGGGGACTCAGGGCTTAGGGGGCCTCTCAGTCCCCAGAGCAGACTCAGGGGTCTTCACCTCCGCCTCCTGGAGAAGCCCACCCCACCGACCCAAGGAGAGATGCTGAAGAGTGAGCCATGAGATCCAAAGCCCCAGAAGCATGGGGAGTGTGGGTTTTCAGTGAAGTCCTTGGAGTGTTTTAAAAGCAATTTCAACCCCTGCATCTAGCCTGGGATCCGATTTGGGGGAGGGGGGCACATGTATGTGTGTGTGTGTGTGTGTGTGTGTGTGTGTGTGTGTGTGTGTTGCAGAACAGATGGCAGCATTTACCCACAGTTTCTTTTATTTTAGTAAACTTGTGGTGACCCAGAGGCAGAAAAAAATATCAGTGCCCACTACACCCCTCCTTCCCCACAAATGCCATTGGTTGAACTCAGATGATTTCTTCAGGCTTGGGGGACACTGCCACCCTGAAGCCCCTACTTGTCTAGAGGCAAGTACTGAGTGTACCCTGCCACTACCCCAGCAAAGACGTCCTCGGAGTTTTCTTAGAACAGATTGGCTGTTAGGAGGCAGTGGCCCCAGCCTGGGGCAGCAGCGGCCCCTGCAGGAGGCTGGAAAAAACGATTTCCCACAGGAAACTGGTAGTTGGGGAAGTTTGAATTCCAGTTAGACTCAAGGGTTTCTCAAAGTGCCTCAGTGAAGTACTGAGCCCCCTTTCTTGGGATGTCCTATAGAGCCCTTGGACAACTCACCACAGGGTCACCTGGGGAAGCTGCTTCTTTCACCTGGAATAATGTTTTATCACTTCCACAACTGAAGGAAGTCCTCCTTATCCTGTTAAGGGACACTCACCTCCTCCTAGAAGCCTTTCTGGATTCCCAGTCAGTACCAATGACTCCCTCTAACACAATAATTGTCACACTGTGACAAAGATGATTGGCAGTGGAAAAATCAGCAGTCAGATAGGCTTCCTTCTTGGATTTTTTTTTTTATTTTCCTTGCAGTGCTGAGGATTGAACCCAGGGCTTCAAGCAAGCATGCTAGGCAAGTGCCCTACCACTGAGCCACAACGGCAACCCCATAGGTTCTTACTTGACATGGCCTAACACAGTAGAAAGTCAGTGAGTGTCTGATGAATGTAACAACATGAAACTCACTCTAGGGGCTGGAGCTCCATGGTAGAGTGCGTGCTTAGCATGTGTGAAGCCCTGGGTTCCATTATCTGCAAACAAATAACAAAATAAAACAACCCCCGTGGCTGGGTGACCAAGTGACCCACGAGTCCTTTCATGGTGCTGCTCCCAAGGTCACTGATCCCCCAGCCCAGCTGTATGGCTTTGCTACTTAAGCTTCACCTGGTACTCCTAGGTCAGAAATGGAAGTATAGCTCCAGCTCCTATGCAGCACCAGATTCTCTTTGGGGGGCTTTAAGGAAGGGCTGAATTCGTTTTTATCCCCTCAGTTGTCCAGGTTCGTCACACTTGGCTTTCCTTTTGACCTTCCTCCCTTAACCAGTCTTCTAGGACATTCCTCCCTTCATTCCATCTTACTGTCTCCAACGCTGTTCTCCTTACCTCTTGACCTGCTATAATTCCCTTATAACTGGCTTCTAGGCCTCCAGGATCTCTCTGTTCCAACCCTCCCTCTACCTAAAACCCACCCATTAAACAAATGCCAACTCATGTGCCATCTGCTCCTCAAAGCCTTCCCTCATCCTCCAAAACACACACTCCTTCTGAACTGCCCTCACGCATTTCCTGTGCTGCCACCCACTCCGGTAGCTCAAAGTTTATCTGTCCCATCTCCAAAGCAATTCATTTCTCTATTCTGTATATTTTTTTCATATTTTTATTGCCACTTAATTTTTTATACCTATTGTAAATTGTCTACCTACATATCTGTCTTCCCCCATTACATTATAACTAGACTGTACCATATTTGTCTATTAGTTATTCACAGTGCTTGGCGTAGGGACCAGCACATAGATTTTTTTTTTCAGTATTGGAAATTGAACCCAGGGATGCTTTACCACTGAGCAACACCCCAATCTTTTTTATTTTTATCTTTTGAGATAGGGTCTCGCTAAGTTGTTGAGACTTGCCTGGAACTTTCAATCCTTCTGCCTCGGCTTTCTGAGTCACTAGGATTACAGGCGTGCCCAGCCAAAAGCTATCATTTTCAATATATCATGTCTTCCCTGCAGAACTTTGAGTTCCTTAAAGGGAGGGATTTTTGTCTTGCCACTTTGGCATTCTGTAAGCTCCATTGAGTGCACAGATGAAGGGAAGAATCAGTCAAACAACCCAGACATCCCTATACATGGTTTGTTAAAGAGTAAGGGCTCTGGCCCAGCATGGTGGCACATGCCTATAATTCCAGTGACGTGGGAGACTGAAGCAGAAGGATTGTGAGTTTAAGGCCATCCAGGGAAATTTATCAAGACCCTGTCCCTAAATAAAAACTAAATACAACTGGGGGTGTAGCTCAGTGTCAAAGCATCCTAGGTTCAATCCCCAGTACTGGGGCAGAGGGCGGAAGCAGAAGTTCTGGAGACAGACCTGGTTTTGAAACCTGGTTCCGCTATTTACATGTTGTGAGATTTTGGGAATCCTCCCAATCTCTCTGAAACTCTGGACAAAGATAATAATAGTACTTATCTCACATAGGGTTTTTGTGGGGAATCAATGAAATTAATCCCAAAGTGTGATTAGCCTAGAACATGGCAAATATTAGTAATAGCTACTATTTTGTGAGCACTTTTTCTAGTCAACTAGGCATGGGCTTTGTTTTCCATCACATTTGGGGGGAGAAGCGGTACTGAGGATTTAACCCAGTGGTGTTTTTAACACTGAATCATATCTCCATCCTTTTTAATTTTATTTGTTTTTATTCTATTTTTTTAAATTTTTACTTGTTGATAGACCTTTATTTTATTTATTTATTGATATGTGGTGCTGAGAATTGAACCCAGTGCCTCACTCATGCTAGGCAAAGCACTCTACCACTAAGCCACAACCCAGACCCCTTTTTATTTTTTATTTTGAGACACGGTTTCACCAAATTGCGTAGATCCTTGCTAAGTTGCTGGGGCTGGCCTTGAACTTGTGATCCTCCTGTCTCAACCTCCCGAGTCTCTGGGATTATAGGTATGTTCCATCACACCTGATTCCATCTCATTTATTACCTTATCTTCACAACAACCCTATGATAAAGGTGCTCTTAGTACCCATGTTTTAGAGAAAAATAATATGAAATTCAGAAAAGTTAAATTACTTTCTGAAGGCTAATTTCTGCTTCAACACATTTTATGCTGAGAATCCTACTCGGGTTTCTAGGAATATAAGATGTGATAGGATGGTAGGGGATCTTAGTTAGGGTGTTCTTGACTTTCAGCCAAAGTTGTACCCAATGGGCTGGGACTTTGGGAACATGGAGGAGTCTCAGGCCAGTGGCTAATGTCTGAGGAGTGGGAACTCCCAGGAATGGGGTAGGAGTAGCAAAGCAACTCTGAGCTTGCATGGAAGGCCCTCTCTGAGGAGAAGCCCAGGGTTCCTGCCTGGCATTCACTATAAAGGTGACTAATCACTTTGGTCCCCTCTGGTAATTGCAACCAGATGCTGCCATTGGCAGTACTTCAGTCCCGACATGTTTAATTACTGGGACATAGAGTCCCTGGGTCCCCTGGGTCCCGCTCCCTCCCCCTCTCCTGTCAGCAATATTAATGTCAAACTTGAGGTAGAGGATGGGAGTCTTGGGAAGCCACTGACATGGAAATAATCTTTACAGTCCCTTCCACCATGCGGAGCCTTTAACTCTTGTAAATGTTTCCCCATCCATTATCTCACTGGCACCCCACAAAACATCCTTATAAAGTCACTAAGCCAGAGTATTAGTAGATGAGCAAATAGTGAATCCTTTGCTTTTTTCAAGCACTTGGCAATTTTCAAAGAGGTTTCACATTCATTATGCCAGCTGAACCCCCTAACATCTCTCCATGAGTCAGTGAAGCACAGCACAGAGGATGAGAGCACAGGGCTCCAGGATCAGACAACACAGTTCATGTCCCAGCTCTGCCACTTACCAATTAGGTGATCTTGGGTATTCATTCATTTATTTGCTTAATTATTCAGCAAACATTTATTAGTGTCTACTATATGGTAGGCCCCAGATCTCAGCACTAGCTATATAGCAGTGGACAACACATCAAAGTCTGTGCTCTCATGACAGTGAATGAGTCTATGCATTATTTTAGAGAATTCTAAGGGCTGTGTAGAAAAATTAAGCAAGGTCAAAGAGGTGTTTATTTCAGTTAGCAATCCTTACTAGTGGGGGCAGGGTGGTTAGATTTAAACAGACACCTGGATTTAGTAAAGGAATAAGACATAATAAATTCTGGGGAATGGTCATTTCAGGCAGAGGGAACAGCAGATACAAAGGTCTTGAGATAGGAATGTTCCGGGCATATCTGAGGAACTAAGAGAAGTTAGTGTGACCGAAGCAGAGAGAGCCAGGGGGTGAACAGTATGTGATGAGGTCAAATTGTGCTGAAACCACATCATGTGTAGCCTTGAAAACCATGGAAAGG